TTTAATATATCGGCTTATTTCTACCTTCATTAAATCTTATATCAGCCGCCAAGCTATCGGCCTGCTATCGTTCTGGCAATTGTTTGAAGATTTTTGGTTTATATTTTTGATTTTGACCTGTGATACTTTCTATTATCTGTCATGTGTAATAATAATATCATGATCATGCAGATCACGATATTATCATTATAGCATGCCAAATAACTTCAGTTATTGGATGCTTCGTATCCAATAACTATATATTATCAACTTCAAATCCAACCAACTTCATTTTACTTTTAATTAGAAGAATTCATTTGAAGATTATGATCAACAACCTTTATCTGCTTTAATTGGACCATTCAAAAGTAATCTTGATATTTGTCTATATTTGGTATAATATCCACAACTTGTTGAATTGGCATTAAGTATGATAAAAGCAGGTGGCCAGGAGTTTCTAATTAATTAGAGTAAGACTGATAAATTTGATACACTTTCAGAAAGAGTAAATATGTTATATAATTATATTAATGTTAATAAGCATTGTTATATAATATCTCATGCATTTGGTGCACTCTTCTATATCTTGAAATTTTGATTATAAAACTCTATTAGGGTACTAAATAAAAAATCATTTGCTAAATTTACTATAAACTATATTTTATCCTAACCTCTAACCTTTACCTTATCCTAATATCAAAGAAATTAAATTTCGCTATAATAAATCTTGTTAATTAATTATTAGAGGTACCAAATGCATAGGGGTACTGTTTAAAATCTTCTAATATTAATGATTAAATTACTTATTGTTATTTAAATAGAAACTTAAAATATTTCAAATGCATTTGAAACCCCTTTTCTTTCACACAAAAGTAATCAACAAACAGATGATCGATATATTAATAAGATTGTTGTTTTCAAATATTCAAAGCATTAGAGTATCTGATCACATCGCTCTGCAAATATGGGCTTTTGTATATTATAATGCAATATTGAAGTGTGAACTTTGAAATCTTGTCCTCGAATTTGTTAGGAAATATAAATAAGTTGCAAACAATAGCTTGCTGTTTAAATTAAATAAATAAATTAATTAATTAATTAAAATATTAATTTAGACTGACCAAAGCAACCCCAACAAAACAACAAATTGCCAAATATGTTACTGAAAACAACTGAACAACTGTCTTAAAACACCATATGAATGTGACAGATGTGCAAAAAACATTCAGAGATCTGGCCCACAATGTTGTCATTTTTACTGATTTTATACGATCAGCATTTAACTTCTTTGTTCAAGAAAAACTTCTAGACAAAGACGTAAATGATGATATCAAAGATTTAAATTATATTACAGTTGATATAGAAATATATACTGCTGATAAAAAAAGTTCAATTCCTCGAGGATAAAGGACTTCCAATGGAGGAAGTCTGTCTTAAAATCCTAAGCCGGGTGTCTGAAAATAAGGAGTCCAATTGGATTCTCGCTCGGTTAGAAGGTAACTCACATAGGCGCAGAGAGTTTAAATAGGTAACCCCCTAGTCGG